CATTTAAACCCAAACTCACACCAAATAAATACAATGATCAATACATGCACACGTTTTGTCTCCACATATTGGTTATCCTTAAGATGAGATAAATAGGTCCAACAACTTTACAGTCAGTAGAATAACTCGTGATTATTCTACAGCATAAATGATGGAGGGAGGCATAACATTTTACATGAAATCAATAGGCATGCATTCAACTTTTAAACTCCCAGAGAGCAACAAAACAGCATAAAGTGACAAAAACAAGAATGTCTGTAACCAATAACCAATTATGAACTGATATGAAACAAGCAGTTGGATGGGACCAATGTAACAGACACCCCAACAGTGCCAGCACTGACATTCTAGATAATCAATAATCATAAATAAATACAGGGGTGGAAAGCCACCCTGTGTGAAGCCTGATAATGTGACTGGATTTCACCTGTAAATGGAAATTAAAAAGACATATACAAGTGTGAAATATAAGGAAATATATGGTGCTAATAAACACCAGCTGTAATGCTTTTTTTTACCTTTATGAGTCATTTTTGCAGTAGATACCAGCCGGAAGGACATTTCAGCTGTACACTTGGTGTGCACACAAACACTTAGTGTGCAGTTACACACAGTCCGTCTTGTATAACAGCATTGACGTACATTAATATGAAAAGATTTGTCTTGTTGAGGGATGCAATAATATGCAATGAATTACCTAAAAAAAATAATGCCAAACCACACTTATAATAACCTCTCCTCCGTAGCTCATGTTGGAAAGATTCTGACAAAATCTTTATTATTTGCCACACAGAGAAGCACCCCAAGTTCAAAGAAAACATTGCACTGTAACAAAAAAGTTGTATAAAGCCGTTTGTTGGGGTTCAAGTGATGTCACTTGAGTCAGCATCAGTTTTAACATAAATTATAGCTGCTGCGCAGCGATGGGTCGGGTCCGGGCATTTTTAGGCAATTCTGAGCAACAAGCAGAAGAATTGGAAGACATTTAGGAATTTAGCAACACAATCTGCCTTTTGCATCAGCTGAGGCTTGAACTCACAATCTCTGAGACTAAGAATCAATTTCTATCTCACTGAGCTAATTAGTCAGTGACAATTCATGTGTAGCTTCACAAACTGACTAAGCCAGACGTGCAGGTTTAGCAGCCGTCCATGCATGGAAAAGCAGATTTCAAACCACTGTAAAAAATTCAGTTATCAAAACAAAAATCTGAAAATACACATATTGCATCTAGACAGCATGGAGATGTTGGTAATTTGTTTGTAACAATGATTGATTTGCTCCATAAGTGAAAAACTGATGTTTAAAATTACCATTTTTACATTGACTCTAATTGTTCACATTAGAGCAAAATTCAAAATGCTGTCAAAAATTCAGTTTTTGAGATAGAATTCTGAAATTTGCCACACATCATCTACCATGACTCTAGAATTTTGTCTTTTTTTCATGAACATTGAAGATTTATTTAGCAAGAATTTGCATGTATATGTTTACAGTACCGTTTACTGTCAAACATTTTGATGCACTGTAGGCTCAATTTTTGATAAATCAAAAATCTGAGAAACATAGTTTTTGTAGGACAGTCTGAAGATGCTCTGTAGCAAGTTTGGTGTCAACTGAGCAAAAATTGTGGGAGGAGATAGGTTTAAGATGTTTTACAGTTTTTGAAAAAAACAGAGTGATGAACTTCATAATTTTTAATAGGTTTAAATGTACAAAAGTTTCTTCAGTATTGAGGCTACAGTTTGATGAAAGTTGTGAAGTTGTAGCGCGTATGGTTGATTTGTTATGAATTTTCAAAGTTTTGAAATTTAGACGCTTGCTGTAGCGCCACCATCAGGACTATTGGCTTGAGTTTATAGCTGAGGATATCTGGCATGAGACTGGACCTTTGTGCAAAGTTTGGTGAGTTTTCACCCATGGGAAGTATGATTTCCTCGGAAGAAGCAAGAAGAAAGAAGAAGAATACCTAGGATTACAATAGTGTCCTGGCAGCTTAGCTGCCCGGACCCTAATAATCTGCAAGTGTGAAGCTAGAATGAAGGAAACTTACCAGACCTCTGTAGCCTGGTCTTCGTCGCTGCGTGACTCTAGTGACTTGAGGTTAAATTCGTCACCGGTAGCTCAACACACCCGAAACATGAACCAAACTTACAGCAGTCATGTTGCATTATGGGTAATGCAGAGGGTGGTAAGAAGAATGCTTGGACTGAAAGTAACAATTGTTGTGTTTTAGTTACTTATAATGAGCTGTTTATATCTACATATAGAGATGGTCCTCTTTCAAAGAGTCTGCCGTGTAGAGGGCAAGGCTTGTCTCAACATTGGGGGGCACATGTGAAACTGGAGGTTTGGGGGTCCTCCACCAGAAAATGTTGTGCATCAAACACTTGATTTCCTGCATTCTGATCATTTTTCTGCACCAGTTTACAGTATAAATATCTTTATTGTTGTCAAAATAAAAATCCTCTGCTGCTTTAATGATTTTATTGGGGGGTCAAATGCGATGCCCTCATCCCCTATGTCCCTACTGAAATATAATGGTATGCGCTATGTTGTAGTATAGTAGCCCAGAATGAACAAACCAAACACTGGTTCTAGATAGGGCCTTTTGTGTTTTCATGTTGGCCACCGTAGTTCTCCCACACGCTTGGTACATGGGAGAAGTTTCAACTGATTGTAATCAACAACCTCACCACTAGATGCCACTAAATCCTACACACTAGAGCTTTAAATTGTTCATTGTGAGTCAAATAATACTGTATTATTGGAGCGCAATGCTAAAGCCTTATAAAGGGAAGCTGTTCAAGTTCTTTTGTCACAATCAGACCTGATTTGGCCCCGCTGTGCACCCCTTGTTTTCACACATAATGTTTTGAGTATTTGTCTTGCTTTAAGTTAAAAATCATTCAAAAAGTAAATCATTGTAAATCATGTTTATCATCATTATTATTATAATATTATTATTATCCATAATAATAGTAGTAATAAATATTAGTAGAAAGCACAGTAAATCGACTGGCTAGGAACTGCTACTGTAATTGTATGTTTACAGTTGCAGTGACACTGCTACAGCAGGAAAAGCACAGGTGTTACTAATAACATTAATGATGGCTCTGTGCTGTGGGTGTGTGGTCTAGTGTGACTGTGAGCTAGCATGCACAAGACCATGATACTGAAACACAAAAAATCAAATGGAATCAGCCATCATTATCAGTCCTACTAGTTATACCTGTGCAGTCCCTACTGTGACATGTCAAAATGTCTTGCCTATATATGAAAAGGGTCTACTGCTGGTTTTCTACACATTTTGTTGTGGTGATGTTTTATGCGATAAGTAGATGATGACTGCTTACTCTATTCTGAATGCAGGCTTTGTTTGCTGCAAAGTACTCTGAAACTTTGCTCATTGCGGCCCTCAGGCAGTGACAGGCACACTAATTAACCATTTAGAACAATAATCTTGAGTGCACTTTTTCAGGTCAGCTAAATTGGTTCAGACATATTTCACAGAGTAAAATCAGCATCAGCACTTTTAAACTCAATAAGGTTGGTCATTTTCAACAGTAAGTTCAGTTAATGAAGTGCTTTACATTAGTACTTCCATACTTAATAATTAAACTCCACCAATATCAGAAGGAAATAATGTCCCTTTTCCCCACTACATTTAGGTGTGATGCATTTTTACAGATTAAACCACCCAGCAGTATTTAAAGTATTAAATTTAACCAAACTCTCCAACCCTCTAAACCAGTCACATTAAATGCTGCTTAAACATTATGGCACCACTAAGTATAAAACAATCGGGTATGATATATCATAATATTACATTATGAAAGGGTCCTTTCTGCATGGGTACATTTTTACATTGATGTTTTGTTTAGTCTGTGAGGTACTCTGCAGGACTTTTACTTGTAGTTGACAATACTCTACATCGCGGTATCTTACTATATAATGATGAAAACTCTGTGTGTTTCTGTTCCACGTTTTTCTCCTCACTGACTTGGTCAATCCATGTGAAATTTGGCACAGTGGTAGAGGGTCATGGGAGGATGCCAATTAAGCAATATTACATCAATTGGCCAAAGGGGGGCGCTATAGCAACCGCAAATTACAAACTTTGAATGGGCATATCTCATGCCCCGTATGTCGTAGAGACATGAAACTTTGCACAGAGATGCCTCTCCTCATGAGGAACACATTTGCCTCAAGAACCCATAACTTCCGCTTATACAGATTTTCCGCCATTTTTAATTTTTTGAAAAACACTTCAAATGGATCTCTTCCTAGGAAGTTTGAGCGATCTGCATGAAACTGGGTGAACATAATCTAGGGACCAATATCTAAAGTTCCCTCTTGGCAAAAGTTGGAAAACTTACTAAAACTGAGCTTCTATAAGGCAATGAATATTGCGGAGGGCGTGGCTCATCACATGAAGGTGTATAACATCTCATCTAATTTCTTATCTAGGCCTAACCGCCATATGGATTTTTACTAAACTTGGTAGATATGTAGAACAGGACGCCTCAAGGTGACTGGAGAAATTTAACTCTAATTGGCAACTGGGTGGCGCTATAACAACAGAAAAATGCTTCAAAATGGCTAAAATGCGGCAGATCGCTGTGGCTCCCCCTGTGGACCAATGTTGGTGTTGTTTCTAATGTTTGGTATGACTAAGTCATGGTATGGTATGCTGTACATAATCACGGAAACTGTCAGTGTGTCATTCTGTCAGTCAGTCATTCTGTCTGTCCCACGTTTTTCTACTCACTGACGTGGTCAATCTATGTGAAACTGCGCATAGGCATTGAGGACTGGCATAGGTAGAAGGTGACAAAGCTACCAATGGCTATGGACTAGTTTATACTTTAATTTAGTTCTTCTTCCACCACTGCTCATTCCTCCCCTAGAAAAGCTGCCTCATTTTTGAGCAGACTGCATGTTGTTCACACTTCCGGCCTGCAGGTGGCAGCGTCTGTCTTGTAGTGTTTTGCCACTCACGCGATAGGACGACACAGAAGAAGAAACTTTGACTTCCTGTATCCAACTGAAGGTAAGTTAGCCTTTATTTGTGGCGCATTAATGTATTTATGTATTTACTAGGGCGTTTATGTTTACATTACGGACCATTATGAAAGTAATGTTATAATTCTGGGTAAAACTCACGTGCCTTGTTCACAGTTTGAGCCTTCATGGTGCGCCAGTGTGTCACACACAGTCTGCGGTCTTTCATCGTAACGTTAATCTAATTCCTGAATTCAAAGTTATAAACGTAAATCACAATCATTAAACCTCGCTTATGTTATTTGGTAGTTGTTATATCGAAGTCTGTTTCCTCGTCGGATAGTGTTTACCTGTGGATAATGCGGTGTCCAGGGTTTGAGATAAGATTTGGTTTCTTCCAAAACGTCACAGTCACTGGGTTCAGTGGCGTAAGGTAGTTACAACGGGATTCAGCGGAGAGGGGCGACTTTTCTCTTATAGAGAGTTTCTATCAACATATAACATATATATTCAGTTACGCCACGAGAATTTGCTGTTGTATTTGACGCCATTCCATCAGGCTCAGTAACCCTTTTTAGAAATACTGGCAGACCTCCACCCACTGGTGTCTCCCTCCCCGCTGTGGCTGAGTCACCTGTTGGAAAAATCTGTTTTTCTAAACTTCCTCGAAATAATAAGAGTATTCGTGCTTTGTTTCAGAAAGAAATTGTATCTATTCCAAATGTCGTGTTTTACTGGAGCCGATTTGTAAACAACATTGACTGGAAAAAAGTTTGGATGATTCCTCACAGATACCTGATAGTAAACAAGGTGAAAGAAGTGTCGTTCGGAATAATTCACAGATATTATTACCCTGCTAATCATTACATGGTTAAATTTAAAAGAGACACATCAATACAAACTGGTCTTTTTGTGAAGACCACCCAGAAACTGTTTTGCACCTCTTTTGGTATTGCTTACACACCAGAACAGTTTGGCAAAACTTCAGCAGATTTGTCATTGACCATATTTATAAAGACTTTGCCTTATGGTGGGAGAATGTGGTATTTTGCTTTTATAGAAGTCAAAGTAAAGAAAATAAGTACTTCATTATAAATGTATTAATTCTGTTGTTAATTCCACATTCATAAATGTAAATTCAACAGTAAAAAACCTAATTAAATAACTTATAAGCCTCCCCTGGCAAAGCTTCAGTTGTCCTTATTTGTATTTTATATGTTCGTTCACTATTACATATTTCCATCTCTGTAAGTCACATCTGAACTGTAAACCACTTTTTGCAAAAAAGATGACTGATGAAAAAATGATGAAAAAGGTAGTTACAATGGGCTCCTGTGCACACTATTATGAGGGGCCCTAGTCACAAGTTATGAAGCACACACACACACACACACACACACACACACACACACAGTTTAAAGGGATAGTGCACCCAAAAATGAAAATTCAGCCATTATCTACTCACCCATATGCCTAGGGAGGCTCAGGTGAAGTTTTAGAGTCCTCACATCACTTGCTGAGATCCAAGGGGAGAGGAGGTAGCAACACAACTCCACCCAATGGAGGCTGACGGCGCCCCAGATTCAAACGTCCAAAAACACATAATTGAATCCACAAAATATCTCCATACTGCTCGTCCGTAGTGATCCAAGTGTCCTGAAGCCCCTACATAAAATGTTGTTTGGAAAAACGTCATTTGAACTCTGTTTTTAGCCTTATTGTAGTGTGTAGCTCTCACTGGCTCTCTGTGCACCACGCTCATGTGCTTTTCACGGCACACAACAGCGGAAGAGTGGAGCTGGAATACCAATAAATGTCAAAACGAGGATATGTCACAGTTGCAAACAAAAGTTGCTACCTTTGTTTCCTTTGGTATGTCCGTCAGTCAGGCTGAGAGATATGCAGCCTCAGTTTTTGACTATTTAATACATGACGGATATGATGGTGAATCTCCAGAGTGGGCCAGAAGCAGGTTAATATGAGGAAGGAAAAAAAGATCAGCTGTGTAATCTGGAGGGAAAAAACTTCAGACCTAAACTTAGATTATTGTGGTTTCCAAACTGGGTGCTGGGGCCCTCAGAGGGGTCCCAAATTAAATATGAGGAGTTTTTCCCTTTCCCACATGCATGTGTGTTCCTTTTGAAACACAGGTGGTTGTGTCTTACAGTTCATGTGTTGTCAGCTTTACAATTGATTTGGCTCAGTTTTCACAACAGAGCAGCAACACACAGTTTAAGTGTGCAAAATGCTAAACACAGACTTCTTTTCCTCAAAATGGGCTCAGAATCTCATACAACAGCACGTTAGATGAAAACAGCACTGTCACATTATAAAATTATCATTCAGCAAGTTTATAACAGTAACAAACAGACACAAACATCTGCATCCTAGAGTAAGACTTTTACACTACTGTAGATCTGTGAAAGGTTAAATGATAATTCTGTTGTGTTTTTTTAAATTAGTTAAATTTTCTATTCTGTGTCTACCATTACATCTGTGCAATAAGCATTTGTAAATGTGCAGTATCATAATGTAGTGCAGTCACAGGCTGAATAAGCTCCAACAGAAGAAACCTGAAAATCTGGTTTGGTGTAAAGTTTCTTTTACACCCTGATGAAGAATTTATTAACTGACATGTTATATTTTACCCATGTTTGTTTTTCTGCAGGTACAGACAAGTTACTGTCCTGAGACCCTCCCTGGAGAAAGAAATTTCTCACTGAATGAGCTCATCATGTTAGTGTTGGGCTGACCCTTTCTATGACATGATGGATGACAGTGAATTGGAGGCGATAGCCACGCCATCAGGCAGCTCTTCCATTGGGGATGCAGTATCTGGTAGAGCACAGAGTGTGCCTGATGGTGAAGTTGACGAGCTCTACTACATCCCAGAGAGAAGACCTTCTCTGGACCTGGGACCGAGTCCAATGGATACCAGCCACTGGTACTGACATTTTTCATTTACAAGCCCCAGGGGTCCTCTCTCTCTCACTGTAGGGTAATTACTCTGGGTAGTATTTTTATGGAGAAGACTGACAATATATCTGAAGTTGAAAAACAACAACTAGCCCTGTCCTTTCATTTGCTTTCTAAAGGTGGTAGAGTACAAAGTAAATATTACTTTCTTGGGATTTTCCCTGACGTTTAAATGCAAGTTTAAAGTTTAATTTGTCAATTTGTCATAAAGTAAGAAAACAGTCAAAATGGACAGATGTACAGTGTTTCCCACAGAATTAGAATCTTTGTGTGGCGGTACCTAGACTCACAAGTCAGTCTTCAGACGCTTTGCTTAACTAAAGACTGATGACTTTCTCCATGATTTTGTGTTTAGATGGGCGGATACAATTTCAGAATTTAAAAAAACCAATGTAAACCAAATTGCAGAACCAATAGTAAATCCGCAGGGCGGTCCTTTGGTGGCTCGCTGAACTCTTGTGCTCGTAAACATAGTCCGACTAGAAACACGTGCAGCGGTACAAAATGGCTCAAGTCGCTGTAAGTCCTTCATTTCCACAATCTTGTGGACTGAGCACACGTTTGATAAAACGGAGTTAAATCTCTCGGCATCCATTTTCAAGCTCTCTGTGTGTTTGTTTCCTTGCGGATGAGAAAAGGGGGAGCGCACATTCCCGGGAGGGCGTGTCCTTTTAAAAAATGCAAGAGCCGTTGCTTTGTTGCCAGTCGTTTTCTCCGGTGTGTTAAACACACTTTAGAAAGGAGTGTCCCCAGACCATCAGAAGGCGGAGATCTCTGCTTGTCTGGTAGCGAGACTAGGCGGTACCTGACGACTGTCTAAATTCTGATGTTTTTGCAGCACTGTGAATGCAGCGCCTCATGAGGTCTTTTTTTTCCCCAGCAGCAGTTTGTTGAGTTTGAGTTGCAGGGTGGATAATTAATCAGTTGATCCGATCAGAGTTGATCAGATCAATGGATGAGAGGAGCAGCTGCCGCAGAGGCAAGTGAAAGCAATCTTTTAGACCCGGCACAATTAACAGATCATGAAGAATCAGGGGATCAGTGAGACTGAGACAGAGGGGATCTGCAGAATCCTCAAACTCCAGGGTCTCATGAGGAAGACACACTATATATATATGTACATCTGGTCCGCTTTTATGTTGCATTACCATTCACCATGAGTTAAAAATATGGGTAATGGGGTGTAATATACCTGGATTTAATAAGATGAATGTATCATGTTAAATCCTGCTTCTCTACCTGTGTTTGATGGTTGTCTTTTTCCCTTTGATGTGGTTTTGAAAAACATGAAGCATGCACAAAAATAAAAGAATTAAACAGAAGTAGGTTTATTGAGTTATCTAAATATCTTATAACAACAGTTCATGTACCAGGTTTGAGGGGGTGTTGTGTACCTGTCTCTGTCTGTATCTGTTGCTGTATGTTAACAGTTACCTCACCAATTTTCACAGAAAGATAAGATCTGTCATTACTAAAGCCTAAGTGTTCTTGTCACCACATACCTCACAAAAGATACATGTTAAGTGTCTGCAGAATCAATACAAAGCCAAGAAAAGGAAAAAAATAATAAGTCCATGCTTGTCCTAAGTCTTTGTAGTCCCCAGTTCAAATACCGTGTACACTGACAGCCTTGGTGCTGCTTGAGAAAGAGCACTAAGGGTAAAATTGGCTGCGTATCTGGCTTGCACTATGGAAGCATGTGATTACTTGTTATGTGGCAAGTAAGCAATTAAAAAACTGTCACTTTTTCAGGCATTATGTGGACCAGGCCTCTGCTCCAGCTCTGAGCTACAATACAATGACAAGTGAGGAGAACTTAAGCACCATGGATGTTGACGATGGATCCTCTACGAGGTACAAACAAGACAGAGTATTCAGCAAAGCTTATATCAGTCTATAAATTGATGTATTCATTCCAGTAAACCCATGAAGCAGCTGTGCTCGTAGCATGTACCTTTCAGTATACCATATCTTGTTGTTACTGTCATTGGAAAACTGTAATGACATGTTGTGGTTACACTGAATGTAATTCAGACCCTCTTGTCATCATGTTTTAGGGTCCAGCTGGACAGAGCAGATTCATACTCAAGCTGCTACTCCTTTGACAGTGATGACTGTGAAAAAAGAATCCCCAGGTAAGATATAAACCCAAGTCATGGCACTTGCATGTTAGTGTGTGTGATTACATACTAAACTGACACTAATATATGCTTAAATCTCTCCACTGTGGCCTCACCAGGGTTAAAAGCAACGATGATGCAGTCTCAGAGCCTTCTGGCACACCCGAGTTAATCCAAGACCCAAATGCGATCAGGCATCCCTCACTGACAGTGGCTTTCACTTTTAAGGTTAGTCTGTGTTTCCCTTTTGTCTTCATCTCTTTTAAAGAAATGGTGTAGAAAATATTCTCTTGTTGAAAATGAGAACACTGAATTTTATCCTTTCTCTGGAATCAGGCTATTTGTGCAACCCTTGGGAAGCTGACTGAAGCAGACTTTAAGAGATTCAAGATGATGCTGTGGAAGCGTTACCCACAGTCATTCAACACTCCTCCCCAAGGCATGGACATGGTGGACCTTGTGGACCGGTTACTTGAGTGTTATGACCTGGAGGTGTCTTTGCAGATCACCAGAACCCTTCTTGAGGAAATGGAGCGAAATAATATCATTGATTTTCTCCAGACTTTGTGCATCAGAAGTGAGTATGCTTCCATATTTATTAACTTGTTATCACTGTTAAAAAAACGTTGACCCCAAATGACCATCGCTATATTAATTACTCAACTTGTGTCAGAGTTCTCATAGGCCTACGGTGAACGAAGAATCCAAAAATTGAGAAAATTCTTGATGAATTTAAGTAATAGGAGACCGCGTTTGTGGCGTGTGTGTTTCTTTAAAGTTCTTTTGTGGGCATTGATTTAAAAAATGATGAAAAACATCCCTTCACACCTTAAATAGCTTAGATATAACTCTATACCTTTGGCTCATTTTGTATGCGCAGATATGCAAATTAGTCCTGCCCCTCAGCTGTTTGCCGACAGTTTGAGTGTACCTGCTCACCTTTGACTCTCCTCATTAAACACACAAACTTCTGCTTGTAATCGGCACTAGTTAACATGAGCCTTTGTTGTCTACATGATCTAACAGCCATGTGTAAACCTTTTTCCCAATTGTGAAAATTAAACTTGAATTACTAAATACCAATGCAGAGGTACACCTCCTTCTCCTCCGATACCCCTCAGTTGACAAGATGACTTTTGTGGTGTGTGACATAACAGATTTTGGAAGTCACAATCCATGGTTTTGTGACTTTCATCGATACACTGCAGTTCCAAGGCAGAAATGCTCAGCCAGGGCTTGACTGCTTATTTTGCTCATGATATATGTTGTAGCATATAAAAAAAAACGAAAAGGGACAAAAAAACATAGGGACATGTAACAAGGTCAAAACAGGGTGCTTAAATATCCCTTGAAAGTAGCTCATTTTTAACAAAAGGCTTAAAAAGTCCTTAAAAAGTGCAAATAAACTGCATCATATATAGTTTGACTGAAATTTTGTTCATGTCATTATAGTCTCGCTCACCAGACCTTTCTCAAGAAAAGAAAGGTCTGGCTGGGCCGACTCTCACTTTAAGATTGGAGAAAAAAAAAACCCCGGCTGCTTGTATTTCTTTCAACCAATCACAATCGTTCTGGGCGGTGACACAGCAACGGTGCGCTTGCAAAAATATTGCCGGGGGGAAACAGGTTTTGGTGTAACCCGCCCACAAAAATATCACCTACAGGACGCGAACCATGGCAGAAAAATGGCTACATCCCCGCAAGATCAAGCACCGCAAAAGTTAGTAAAGGACGTGTTGAAAACTGCTACACAACCGGAGGTGGTAGGGCGGGACTTCAGTGGGTGGCTCGTTCTGCCCAATGAGAGGCTGATCTATGCAGCGAACTTCCGCCCACTCAGACTAACGTCATTATAACAAAATTGCTCAGAATTAGAAATTCAGCTTTTCCTACGTGCCACTTTCAGATGTTTCTATTTTAATGAAGACTTTTCCTTACTTCATAATTTGTACTCCTTTTTGTAATGAGTCGACAGTTCTGTCTGATAACAGGCAAGTGCAGCAGGGTTTCTCCCTCTTCTATTGAGCCTTGTGCAGGCAGGCAGTAGGTGTGGGGCAGGCAGGAGGATGCTACATGCTGCAGAAGTGGGAGTTCAGTTGTAGTGAGTTTCTATGGTTACGCTGACGCTCTCCCCCTTGATTATCTGAATTGAAACTTCTTGTAGCATGAGGAAGTGGTTCATTATAGTAGTATAAGCAGCACAGCTCTCTTAATTCATTCCATTCACTTGTTTTATGGATTTTATACAGTTATGCATGAAAAGAGTGTTTTAAGTAACCCATCACACATTGATCACATCATTTGTTTATGTTTAATAAAACATTATGTTTAAAACTTAATTTCTAGCTTTGAGTGAAGTCTTTGAAAATGGAAAAAAATAGTGCTGTAAAAACATGATTTTCTGTGAAGGGTTGTTTATGTATTCTCAACAAAAGATAGGGATAGTATGTATTCACAAGGCAAAGGAGATGTTGGTCAAAGTGCACTTTAAATAAAGGCCACCAAGTTTTGAATGAAATGAGAGAATCATTTACATTTGCATTTTCCTTTTTTTCAGATGAAGTACGTCACGAGCTAAAGGAGACTCTGAAGAGGATGTATGGCAAAGTGTATGAGGACTGGGCCATGCAGGGAGAGAAAAGGCCTCTTGATGATATCTTTACTAATCTCCACATAACCTCAACATCCAATAATGGCCCAAATCTTGAACATGAGGTCCTGACCATAGAAAAGCTGGACACCAACCACAAGGAAGGGAAGCTGCTTTCTACTGGGGATATCTTGAGCGCTGAAAGGCTCGAGCAATCAAGCTTAAAGTTATTGCTGGTCACAGGAGCGGCGGGGTCAGGGAAGTCTATGGCAATCAGAAAGTTAATCCTTGATTGGGTTGAAGAGCGTTCCCACCAACATGTGTCCTTCTTGTTTCCTTTGCCGTTCAGAGAACTCAAAAAGTTTGAGGATTCTGAGGTGTCCCTCGTGGATATAATTCAAACACTCTACCCAGAAACAAAAAAACTGACGGAACAGGATTATAGAAGCGACGACTGCAAGCTAATGTTTATCTTTGACGGTCTCGATGAGTACAATGGCCCGCTTGACTTTCAAAACACTACGCTTGTCGGGGACCACAAAGAGGCCACCACCCTGAACATCCTCGTGGTCAACCTCCTCAGAAGTAGGCTGCTCTACCGTGCCCTATTTGTGTTCTTCTCCCGGCCGCCAGTAAAGCGCTGCATCCCTTGGGATACACCTCGTGATCAGATAGAAGTGCGTGGTTTCCGTGACTCTGAAAGGGAGGAGTACTTCAGGAAGAGATTTAAGGACCCAAATCAAGCAGCTCGAGTTATTGCGTATATCAACTCCTCCAAAACCCTCCGCATCATGTGCCACCTGCCCTTGTTTTGCTCACTGGTGGCTGATGAGCACCAGCACATATTTAAAGAACAGGGAACAGGGGCTGAAGTGCCAAGGAGCATCACCTACATGTACACAAAGTTGCTGCTTGCACTCACACGTCAGCATCACACATTTAGAGCTCGATATTGTAGCCCAGATAAAGAGAGAGACTTCCTCATGAAAGTTGGAAAGTTGGCCTTCAACATGCTGGAACAAGGCCAGTTCAAGCTCAAGAAGCCTAAGTGGCAAGAGCACGGAGTGGATGACACGGAGACAGTGATCAAGAGCGGTCTGTGCATGCAATACATCACAAAGACAATGGTTTTCTATCAGGATAAAGTCATCAGCTTTATTCACCCCACCATGCAGGAGTACCTGGCTGCCCTTTATGTGTTTCTCACCTTCACAAATCAGGGGAAGAACATTTTTGAGCACCAACTGAAAGACAAGGTCAGGGGAATATTCAAGGCACACAAAGTGATGGAGCTGTACAAGAGCGCTGTGGACAGAAGCTTGCCGTATGAGGACGGCAAACTGGACATCTTCCTGCGTTTCCTGTTTGGCATGGCTCTTAAGACCAACCTGGAGCTTCTCCAGCCATTCTGCACATCTTCTGTAAAGTGGTCAACATTCATTGAAGATGCTGCTGCTCTCATCCGGAAGAGGATTAGAGAAAATGAGTATCCTGGCAGAAATAGCAACTTGCAGTGCTGCCTGGATGAGCTGGGTGTGTGAGCCTCAGAGGCAGCATCAGTGGATCCGACTCTTTTAAACAGTGATCACTGCGCTTAATCATTTTGATGCAAAATAATTGTCAAGGCTTCTGCTGAATTCTGTTGGGAGGAAAACTGTTCCAGATGTGGAGGAACAGGTTTCTCTCCCGATCAATCAACATGTGCACTAATGGAGCTTTAGAACAATTAAAAACATAATAACTTCTGAAGTTCAGCAGTATACTGATGTACCAGTGATGTGAAAACAGAATCCTTTCAGGTTTGGTGTGAGTTGATGAGTGTTTATATAGATTTAAAGAAGCTGAAAGATATTACGTGGCCTTATTTTGGGAGTTTATTTTTTTTTCCGTTTCCATACAATCAAATGTTTTTGATGGACATTATTAATTATTTCCTGTGGTGCCAGCTCATGCTTGATATGTCATGACATGCTTCTTAAAATGCCTAATATTTCTTTGCACTGCGTTTTTAACACAATATCATAAGCATTATGATGATTGCTCTAAACCAAAATTTTATGGCAGAACTGAAAATATGTTAGAACTGAATTATTTTGTACTTTTAAGTGTTGCTGATCACAAATTATTGTTTGTTGGCTGCTTGCATTTAAGCTACAGTTGGTAACTTTTATGACAATAACTTTGCTTGAACTGTCACTATACTCTGAAAGAAGTAAATCAGGCAGACAGTCTGAAAGAAAATCATGTCCCACCTCGTCTTTGTGCTGCTTCCAGTAGCATTTGATAGAAACTACCACGGCGCACCTAAAATAACCAATCAGAGCTGATGAGTCCTAACGCAGCTGTCAGTGACTGCTTGTGCGGTCAAACTAGACAGCGCTGATTACTGCATTGCCTCGGGAGTAAGACATTGTGTAAACCAGCTGCCATGTTAGAAACAGTCATCCCAAGCTCCATGTACCAAGCACCACCCACTGGCTGCAGCAACTTTCTTATTTTAAGCTTAACAGTACGCTAACATATAATTCTGTAAACATTTGAGAAATAGGCAATGCAGTGACACAATCTTGACTTACATTTGTGAGCGCTGCCTAGTTTGACAGTTTGACGGCAGTTCACGAGCAGTTATTGACATCTGTGTTAAAGACTCCTCAGCTCTGTGTCTCATTTATTGCTGTGTGAATATACAGTTTCAGCAAATATATACTGAACCGGTCAGTGGCAAAAAAAAGCACTTTTAATGCGTAAACTTATACGGGACGCATTTGCCCCCGTTACCGTTTTAGCTCGTTTCGCGGCTGCCGGCTGCATCCTCCTCTCTCAATACTGAACCAATTTTAAAACGAGTTGTACCTATGAATCATACGCACAGATAAACATGGGGAAATAGAGCCCAGGTTGAAAAATACCAAAGTTATCCTTTAATGTTTTGGTTTGTAAAACAGTAATCACATTGAAGAGCTGCAGTTTCTGTACTTGTTCATTTTACATAGCTAAAAAGCATTTGCCCTTAAATCTCAGTAATCACCCACCAGTCACACATGGAAGTGTTGTTATACAGGTTATGATAGTACTGACAGTGATACCCATTGGAAAAAGGTGGCAACACTAATAATAAACCTCAAACCCCAGAGGAGTTTGTGGATGAATTGACTGATTTGACTTTGTCTCATTATGAGTATATTTTCATATGCTCCAAGAATATACACTTTCAAGATGCCTTATTGGCTGCTGAGAGAAATTTACCAGAAAGCAATTTCTGGGTAAGGTTAGGAAAAAAATGTGATTTGGATTAAAATGAATAGAGGAAAACTCTCTTAGCAAACCATGTGTATTTATTGCCAACGAACACAGACACTGAAATGATGCACAATCATAGCACATAGCTCAGCAATTAACTGTTACAATATTCTATATATATTCTGCAGTCAGTAAATATTAGCTTTGTGTAGTAGAGTCATCTAAATGGCAGTAATTTAGGGTGCATGCAGTTCCACAAGTGTTGCCTCTGGACGTTGTGTTTCTTGGATAAACATGGTGGTTCTCAAAATGCATGAAATCTTTACCAGGAGAGGACAGTAATGTACTCTAGTTTTCCCTCCCAAAGGATCAAAAGGAGTGGCTTCTTACATTTTAACACAGCTTGTCTCACTGATTGGAACCCATCATAGGAAAGAGATCCACTATTGTGGAACCAAATGCACCCCAAGTTTTGTACGTTTCTTCTGCAGAGTTTTCTCAAACCAACAATATGGCACAGAATAGTACATTCACAGATACAGTTGGCTCTTGTGAAAGTTGTTTGCAAGTCAAACATGTCTCAGAGCGTTAACCTGCCTCTTTTTTCCTCCATGACAGTCGTTAGTAACTGCTGCTGTTAACGTTACATTCTTCTGAGTCATTCCAGTAGCGTTTGACACGACACAGGTGAAGGTGGATTTGAGGTCCTCTGGCGTGACTTTCTTCAACAGCAAACTCCTCTGTAGGATCGCACCATCGTCTAGAGATGATCTGAAACAAAGTACTGCGTTAGTCACGGGCTTGTTTCAGAATCCTTCATTTTGTCTTTTTTTTCTTGCTCTGTCAAGGTTATTTCCATTGAAGTGAAAACTCATAATACTCACTCCTCTAATTCTACTATTCTGCTATTGCTGGGGGTGTCTTCAGGGAAGGAGTCATTGACGAGCCAATAGATGAGTGTAACATCTTCACAGTTTGCAGTCGCTTCACAGTGAAGAAACAGCTGATCACCTGTAAGCCAGGACACATCCAGACCCATCATACACAATATGACATAGCTCCAACACATATACAGGAACCCTTCCAAATAGCTTCATTATAAAAATACCCAGTAACAGATTCTGTAAGCTGTAAAAACACTTGTTGGTCATTTATGTGCACAAGTGTTACCTGGCTGAGCTCTTATTTTGACGTGTTCTGGCCCAATGATCTTTGGAGATTCACCTTCAGAAACTAAAGGAGAAATTTAGGTTAGCACAAAAATAAAATTACATGAAAATAAAAAATGTGTTGCCCACAAATTATACTGTACCTGGAAATCCATCCACAACCAGCAGACACAGAGATCCGAAAGCTGCAGAGATACAACAGTCACAACCAGTGCCATAATACAATAAGAAACTGACAGATGTTGGTATCACAAAGCATTACTACCTTTGATCACGGACGACAGGCTCATTTTGATTCCTCCAGTGAGACCTCTTTGCTGTTGACTGCCTGTTTGGGATTACTATATATACACAACCGTAATTCACTTCCCTACGCCCACTTCATACTTGGACATGCCGTACGTGGGGATTTCCTCACTAACTTGTCAACACACACACTGGTTACGTAAACCAAAACTGCTGACTAATTTACCACTCTCTATCTCGTGATACCAATCGTCCCAATATATGTCACCCAGTGGTCAATGTTTTAAATGTTGGCAAAATAAACCTCAAGGATGCGTGGATAAATACATCTGCACACAATCTAAACCATGTGACATTTATTAACTGATCTTGATCAAAACATTGACAAAAAAACAATGATCATGTTAGCCTTGTTGTACACGGTCCCATCACTGTGTGGGTTTGGAGAGAGAGAGGTCCAAGTAAAAGATAGCTGACATTATGAGCCATTTACTGTGACCAGTACCTCCAATAACCAACCATCTTCCAGCAACGTATGACTAGAAAATACACATGTAAAGGGTCCTTGGATTGAACAGATCACATAAAATAAGACATCAGCACTCACATTGACTGAATCATCATTCTCTCCTCTTCTGATCAAATTCAGTTTGAATTAACGGTTTTATCCAAGTTACTAACTCAAATCGTAGCTTTGGTTTGTGCTTCCTGGGCCGCTCCAATTTCAGAACAGTTAACCAAATATGCACAGAGGAGAAGTTTACTTAGAAGGCTTTCGGCCAGAGATCTGTTCATTTTAACCCCAAACCACATTTGTTTCCCTTAACCCTGACCAAGAAAACCCTTTCTGGCAGAAAGCCCTTGATGCAAACTTGTCCCAACAGCACCAAATATGACCAAAACCTTTTCTCTCTTATTTATTAGTCATACCGATAGTTTGGGTTTCATTTGGCCAAGCTTTGTGATATGCACCTCTGAGATTTCTTTTGCCAATTCAATACAGTGGAGTTAAATTTTAATAGTAGTGCATAGAATCCAGCAATGTGTCACTTTAGAAACTCAGAATAATCCTCAGAACACTGTCAATAGTTTCATGGCGACTCTTCCGTAGGTAAAAAGTAGTTTCAAAGATAACACCTGGCACAGCCGAAACAAACCTATCAGTATGGCTAAATGCATTTAGAGACCTTGTTTGGTAGACAGTGACATTCCTCCTCTTTAAATCATACAGACTTTGTGACGAAAGATATCGTACAAGGGGTAAAGTTCAAAGTAAACATGACTGTTTTTGCCCCGTTGGTATGGATGAGTATCCATGATGACAGCAAGGACATTTTAAAATCCTGTAATACCCAGTTCCATCTTAACAACTACTGGAAGAGGAATCCTCTGTTTTAGTGCGCTTAACACTTTTTCACACTATGAGGAAGCCTCCCGTCACATGACACGACTGGCAGCGTCAAACAGCTATATGGGTGATTCCTTAAATGATGCAGCAGCAAACTGATGCCAGAGGAAGTCTGTGGAGACTGTGTGTGTGTGTGTGTGTGTGTGTGTGTCTGTGTGTCTGTGTGTGTGTGTGTTTTGGAGGCACAGGGAGCAATTACTAATTTTGATTTCCATTCAACCTTTATTACTCATGTGTGATAGCCATCAGACATGAGGATGAAAAACTCCAGCACAGTCCTTTAACTAAAGAATTAACAAACACTTAAGACATAAATTAGTAAAAAGCACCTCTCTAGTGATTTTTAGAACCGCTTTACTAGGCCAAAAGATGCACAAACCAATTATCAAGGTGTAATGCTGTGTGAAGCAAATCCTGGGAAATTGACACAGACATCCAAATTCAGATTACCAATAAAATTCAAATAAACTGTAAAATACAGGTAATATGTGCCTATAAATATATACAAAAAGTATAGACACTTTTTATTGGTGTTTTAGTTCAATGTTAGGCCCTCAGTCTTTTGAGCCAGTGCATATCTTCCCCGTATGGCGTGTATGTCCATTTTCTGAGAGTCGCAGGTCACTCCAGACCCAGGACGTAGTTGATGCCTTGCACAAATCCAATAATGACAGGCTGCCAGGCCACCAAGTACCGAAGCCAGTCTAAAAGTTGTCCATACATGACGTGTGGCCTCTCCCAGCTAAAGAAGTGGTTAAAGAAAAAAACTTTCAGCAGCAATCAAACATGATAAAGAAAAAGGGGAACAAGTGATTCTAATATAAAGCCTCAACACATACGACTGTTGGCACATGACCAGCAGGAGGTAGAACTAACTTTCAGTTCGTGTAAAGGGCATTATTTGTTTTAGACAGTTGCACAATTGACACAGATGTCTGAAGTGAAAACTCTTGGCCACAGAAAGGAACAGGAACTTGTTATACAACCTATAAATGTTTCAAATGTCGTTCCAAAAAGCCTGCTATGAGCCACCTGGAAAATTCACCTAAACTTTACTATCAAACTTCCCCCTCTGTTACAAGGAGGACATTTTCCTCCTCTGACTTGGCATGATTGGGGTTCCTGAACATTGGCTGGATGTCATCTGTGAAAATGCCCATTTTAGGTCTAAACCTTGTTTTCACTTACCTTCTATACCATCTCTGAGGGCACACTATGGTAAAATTAGAACAATTAACTAAGGTAAAATTAAGATATTCCAAAACAAACAGGGAAATAATGCAGCACAAAAAAACCACCAGGTCAAGCTCACATGTGCGCAGAATGAAAAGGATACGGGTTACTGAACATCCTCTTCAGATCCACCTTCTCCTTGCAGTACGGGCACATCTGCTTCTTCCCGACGATACACCATCCTCTTATGCAGAACTCATGGAATCTGGACGTGGAGTTAAGGCATTTGGCTTTTTTTTTTGGCATTTTCAGCCATAGTGCATCAAACTGGTTAATCAACATTAATACATGCAAAAATAACAGTTTTAGAAACAATCATGTTAGTACCTTATAAGGACATAAAATGACTTCCTTTATTACTTTGAAGGTCCAGTGTGTAGGATTTGGTGGCATTTAGCAGTGAGGTTGCAGAACTGAAACCTCTCCATGTGCAAAGTGTGTAGGAGAACTACCATGGCTGATGCAAAAACTTGCACAGTATGCAAAGCAAAAAAAGTTATAGATATTGTTTTATTGATACTGTTGTTGAGCTGCGATTTCATTGGTAATTGTAATTTATGCAATTTATTGGCACTGAAAAAAATCTTAAAATGATGATGATGTGATTTTGGCTGGGTCTATACCAAACAAACATGTTCCCTTACGTCTGAAATATGATTTGTAGGCCAGGGCATCTCTGTAACACCACAATGCTTCATTTATAATGGTATGTTGTGACAAATTTTATCTTTATCAAGAAATTGCAGCTCCTGTGATTTAGATATTTCACTTGGCCACATTGCGATTTTGATAACATTTAGATTTATTGTGTAGCCCTAGCAAAAACAGGAAAATGCAAATGGCCCTATTGAAAGTCAGAATTTTTGTTTTGTCCACTTTGGGCTTCTGTAGAACAACATGGTGGACTCTGTTGAAGAGATCCCGCTCTATATGTAGATGTAAACTGCTCATTCTGAAGTAACAAAAACACAATGATTCTTATTTTCAGGATATTAAACACTAATGAAAAAGGTTAAAACATCATATACCATTCCTGCCAATATGTGTCCCTAAATGCCACACACTGGACCTCTATAATTATAACTCACAGCATGCACTTCTCTGTACTAATCTGTAAACGGTTGCATGTTTACAGTTTGTTTACAGTGGACAAGGAGCTTATGATAGCTATGGGGGAAGTAATACAATTTCAGATAAACAGACTGTCATAACATCAATCTGGCATAAAGGTCAAATTAACTCTAGTAATTCCCCTTTATGCCGCCAACTGTGTGCACAATACAGTTCCAACACAAACCCATGACGACACCTTTTACAGGCATGAAAAACTCTATTGAGCAACTCAACTTCTCTTTCACTGAGATAAAGATAGCAGCGTGAAAATATATCTCACAAAAAAAGGATACACATGGTTGCATGATAGTCTGTACGTGTTCTCGATGATCCCCTCCTCACTGACATCTACGAGGATGGGCTGGCCGCACACAGCACAGATATTGTCGGAGAGGTGCTTGGTTGGCATGCCGGACGCACTGTAATACTAAAAAAATAAAAGCATTAAAATGATATTTTAGCTTACAGTCGCTACCTTCACAGAAATATTCAGTGTCTACAATCTGGCCACTTACACCAACGGTTGAAGCCATGAAGTCTGCACACATCTCTGCAAAGTCCCTTCCCAGGACCCCGTAGTACAGACCGTAGAATAATAGTGAAACGCCAAAGTCCATTGCATCCTCCGGCTTTATCCTGGACACAGAAGGCACTGTATGGGAGTCACCGCTCAGCTGGTGTTCAACATTAACATTTATTTATTCCATAAAAACAGATACGTCTGTTTTATATGTCTGTATTTTCAATGTACAGCTAAATTTACATGTTTTGGAAGACAACATTAATGTGCTTAAATTGTAGTATGCTGATGTCATGCTCATTTACACACACACACACACACACACACACATATTCACACACACACACACACACATATTCACACATACGCAAACCAAAATGCCGTTTCCCATATTGGATAAAAAACTTTTGATGATGTTCTGACAACTAGCTGTTCCAAGAAATGACCAAACGTTCTTTCTCAAATGCAAGGAAGTATTATGTGAGGTGGCATTTCTAGGTGGGAAGTGGAAAATTGTTTCATTCACGAAGGATAGTAGGAAACATTTAAGGTACCTTCTTGTTAGTCTATTTTGGGGGTGGTCAGCAGTTCTTTAAGAGGAGCTGATAATCTCACAGCACACGGCAACATCAACTAAGATGATTATAAATAAAAGAAGTCCCTGTTTTATTTTTAAAACTGAATAATTACACACATGTAGCATCTTCAGTTAATTTAGTCTGATAACTGTCAATATACTGTAGAATCATATGACCTCATTTACATGTAGTGAGTGATGTCTGGAAAGTTTTAACTAATTAGAAGGTGCATTATGGCGCAGCCTTGCTAAACTAATGTAACTATAACAGATCTTGTTAAGGTTCTTTGTGAAGAAATGAATGACTGCATAATCATTAAATTGCTGCATAATAACCTGTAAAAACAGCTCTTTGTTCGTTCAGACGCTTTCATGAATAACAGACCATGAACTACCATAGGCTTGTTTTAAATTCAGCTAAAAGGAGCAACTTTCACTTCCTTCTGGTGACTGTGTCTGAGGCAGAAAATATAAATACTCTCATTTCTCTGACCATCAGGAACAGAGTGAGGAGACATTAGTTGTTTTCTTGCGTAAAGGGAAGTTTCTGTGATAACTACGCGTGTTAGTATGTCACTGCTAATGCCCTCGCAGTGGAAATGTGTGCAGAAACTTATCACATGATGTTTACTTCTCATTCAACCAGAGTTTATCTTTAACTACATACACCTGTTGTCAGCCACAGATTATGTAAGCACCATGAAGAAGCAGTCACTGAGTGTTATTTGCTCTTTTTCCTGATGCATTCTATAATACTAGTAGGTGCTGTATTCAAGTGGTGCTTCAGTGCTTAAAAAGACAAGCAACCCTCGAACCATCTGCAATCACTGCCTTTGTCACATTTATGCCTGCAACATAAAATTATATGAAGAACTTTATAGCTTTTGTGACTCTCTTGGCTGGACGCTTGATTCTTGTCAAGTGGAAATCCCCTGCTCCACCTTCCCATCACTCTTGGATAATAGACATCCTCTACCTCGTTAGTGTGGAAAAACATGACGTGTACTGAGTGGATTGTCCGCTCGTTTTATGACAAACTGACCTTAACTACCATCCCAGACTGACAAACTCTGACAACCTATTTTCAGTGTACCTGCCTAATCTATTGAAATCATTCACTTTGTGTTTTATCGTTGAATACTCCTCATATGTGCAAGTGTGTGTATGTTTACTTTCACAGTTGCCACATAACTACATAATTTCTTAGTCGTCATTAGTGACCAATTCTGTTTGTTTTTACTTTCTCCTTAAGGTGTTCTGTTTCTTTTCTTTCTTTGATCCTCAGTTTTGTAATCACTAAAATCCATATTTGAAACTTGGTATACTGATGTTACCTGATAACCTAATAAATAAAGTTTGAGGGGAAACAAAGAAGACAAACATCCAACCACAGAGTCAGATTATAAAAGGCATCAAATTAAGAAAAAGCTGAAGTGTCAAGCATTTAGGGACTCAGACTGTGGATGTTGCAGGAGCAGTGATGATCAAAAGAGGGTATTTAAAAAGGCAAAACAACATCATCTAGTGGCAGCAAAGTGCTACATGTGAGACAGAGACCAGGAAGGAACAGAGCTTCATACATCCTAAAATGGCAAGCTTGAAAAGATGACTACTCCTGTCAACAGCAGCCTGCAGTTTGAAGGATTTTATTTTCAATAGTGTAAGCCAAAATCCTTTTTAAATTTTAGATATGGTTAATTTGGCATTGCTGAAATGATGTGGAACTGGCAATACATACCTGAATATTAGATTTATACCAAAAAGTGTAAACATGACGACACTGTAGCCAACTATTCCTGTGGCATAGCTGATCTTGTAGAGAAGGAGGAACCACTTATACACCAACCTATGGTAGCCAAAGAGAAGGCATATGTTAGAGTACGTCAGGATATGTCATGGGCAGTTCAACCTGCTATACTGGAAGGGCAGATTTCTTCATTTATAGAATCTGATGACATGTAAATGATGATAATACCTGGGTGTGGTGCAGGCCAGTGGCTTGCGAGTGGCACGGTAGGAGATGTACGCTGTGATGACCGAGAAGATAAACCACGTGATCAGGAACCTCCACCAGTGCAGTTTGGTAGTAAAGTAGAGAGGAACTACCCACATCTGGAACAGAGTCACCAGCTGCAAGACAGCAGAGCATACGTGTTAGAAGATGCATGTACACTACCAACAACAGGTCATATCTGGACAGTATTGGGTAAGAAAGAAAGTACCATATTTATTCTTATTTGAGGAAACAAATACTGATGTAGTCATGTGCTGCCACGTGGACAGAAAATAAAAGTAGTGTTCTCTAATACCATTCTTGTCCATCACAAATACAGACACACACCTCTAGCTCAGGGATCAAATATATCTGTATCCGAATAACACAAATTATTTTAATTATGTGTTTTCACATGATGGTAATTCCAAGTGTTACATACAGAGCTTCAAACATGTTGCTCATGTCTTTTATGTCTTACATTGTATGACTTTGGATGTCTCTGTTTCCACTGCACAAGGACTAGCTGGGCGACGACAAGGGTGACTATGAGGATCAGCACCATCTCTGCGTGCATGGCCTCATGACCTTTGTGTTTGGCATGCATTCTTGCATGCTCCACTCTGTGGAAAAAAGGAAGAACATACTCAACTAATGTTATGCAGCTAGGAGTCACAAAATATGTTATTTCATAACAATGAGGCGTGCCCTTAAATTTGCACTGTGCAGCTCTACACGTTGACGTTGGTGAAGTGTTAGAAGCATGAACTTCAATATCCAGAAATCATGAAATGTTACTGTATATCGAGACTGGCCAACCTAACAGCTGACATTATTATCTGATTTGTTTTTCATTAGCCAGTTCTAAGTGTAAGGAACTCCCTGTCCAAAAAAAGTCTGATAAAAGATCTCGGTTAGGATGTATAAAGTTATATTCTTTACTGAAAACCTTGTGAATTAATGAATAAAAATGCTGGTAAGTGTAACTCTGCACCCTTAAGTGCAAAAACTTTATTTTAAACTGTTGATACATCCATGATATTACATAAATGCATTCAGATTGAAAATAATCATATCATATAAGGTACAGAAATAAATACACTATCCATTAAAGATGTGGCAAAGATACTAACCTCCACTTCTCCTCTGGTGAGAGCTTGGACACATCAAACTAAAGAAAAGAGAAGACAAAACAATAACTATTATTTCTGACACTGTTTCAAATAAGCAGCTGAACAAACTGATGATAACATCACATTTTAGCCATTTTGAGGAAAGAGAACACACTTCAAAACTATAATTAGGGAATGCTATGATAGTGTGCCTTAGCAGAGTGCACTGTGTAAACATCATTTTAACAAAGGACTAATAAACATTTGCCATTCTGACCCATATTATGTAATAATTTGTAGATATAAAGAAATACCATTTAAAAAAAGCCATAACTGATAAAAGCATCACCTCACACAGCTGAATTTAAACCCCACATCATACATTGCATACCAATTACAGAGTTGCTAAAATAATAATTTGAATTAAGGCATTGTATTTAGGTTGTGCAGTAAGATGAAGAGAATGCAGGTGTGTCAAAGCTGGTTGATATGGTAACAAAACAGAAATGTATGCTAATGGACCTGGAACAAGAGTAAAGCTATTAAAATGTGCAAAGTGCATTAAGCAGCTACAGTTCCACCCAAGTTGTTGAGCTTGTTTAGCTACTTAACCATGACTGAAGTTAACAGCTGGCAGCAAGAACTGATGAGATGTTCTCTTATTATTAGAGCTTCCTGTTAGGCTTGGGCAGTATAAATGTATTACTGTATATCAAGATATTCATAAATCCCAAAGGTATGATTTTAAATCATGTTCAAAATGCAGATGCTTCTACTTTCTATTAAACTGATAGAGATGCTTTATTGTGGCAATGTATTCATTCAGTATTTGGTCAGTCTCTGCTATTGGATCAGGCAGCTGAGCTAAGAAAGATGGCAACTGTGAGTTGTGGGGATTATGTTACAAGACTAGTAAAAATGAAAAAATGTCTCTGCTCCTGTTCAGTAGTATTTCTACAAATAACTTTATTCTGAAATGACTTCTTCCAACAACAAAAGCAGTTTATTAGCCACGCGATTTTATCCAACACAGTATCTCCATTCAGCCCACTGTTGTTTCAGAATCCACCGTGGCAACAAGTGTCATCAGGTCCTCCAGCAGGAAGGCTGCTTATTTCCAAGCTATTCAGTAATTTATCAGCCATGAGTATTTTAAACCCAGCAACACCTGTCTTAGTGGGTTAACTGCATATTAGAAACACATTACTGTGGGCTAGACAGTGACATACATAACAGTGACATCTATAATCAGTGGCTGAGTTATTTTTTTCCCTCTTAAATACAAATACTGTCGTATACCGTTTACCCCAGTGAACGGTCAGAAAGGTATGACAAAATAGATACCGCCTGAGCCTACTTCCTATCTGCCAAATAAGGCAGATTAATGAAGGCTGGCAGTGGTGGCACTATCAAGTATCGAGCTAAGGGCTAACACCCATGTCTTACTCATCATCGTCATCCTGCTAAGTACACCTCATTATCCTGACTGAGTAATCATTTGCCCTTTTGCACATTTGAACTGATGTTTGAAAACAGCGTCAGGATTAGACACAAATCCATGCTGCTGACATGTATGTGGACTGCAGATTAATACATTTTTGAGTACCTGCATGCTCTCTCATCTCATTACACATGAGACAGGTAAAACAGGTCACAAGGGCACATAAAGTCCCTCAGGCACAGATTTCAATTCAAACAACACACATACTTAAATCATCAGTGAACCAAACACGAGGGTCTTGTGTGTTTTTGCCAGCCTATTGTGATGCCAGTCACGCAGCAATTCTGCCTCCGCTGCACATTTGGTAACTACACCTACACATGGCCAGCTGTAATAGCTTTTAGTTCACTCTGTGGTGTCTGCTGCACACTGTGTGTCAGTTTGACATTTAGCTTTGGTTTGACTAGAGGATTGAAATAACACAGGAAGTGGTCTGGTTGCTTCCCTTAGCTCAACAGACACACCTCTTGGTACAGCAAAGGCGTTCGTGACCTTTGACCCGAGCAGCCACATCAGCTTTATTTGTAGAGTTAATCTTTTTAACTTAACAGTGAACATACAGGTGTGACAAATAAACTAAAAGGCATTATTTAAAAAACAACCAGCATCTGGGTTACTTTGACCAAATGAAAGCACCTATATGATTTGAACGTTAGTCGGCTAACTGGCTTAGCATAGCTAACAAAATGCTCTCATGGCGTTTCACCCTTACGCTGCTGTTTCATCAAACCAAGCGCAATCACTTAGGAACAATGGACGATGCATTTTTATCCACAATCCATACCTGTGGTTGGTAACATCGCTTAACAGCAGCTAGCCGCTTAGGCTACACCCATGATTAGCAGCTAGCTAGCACAGAGCTCCGAGTAGGCAGCTGGAACCACTTTATAATTTAACCTCCATCTATTTAATCTGTCACAACACCTCACCGTGGCCCACCACCCTCACCTGGTGCGGTTCATCGTGATGCTCCAGCCCATGGTCGTGCTCTACACCATCAACCTCCACCTCAAACACCCCGGCCATCTTCGGAGTGCTGCTTTACCTTTCCGGGTCCATTAGCATTAGCAGCAAACCTAAGAGGGTCACATCCGGTGTTGTTGTTTTTCCCCCCTTCAAAATAAAACTCAGATAAAATGTAGGTCAAACAGTAAAGCTGCGACTTTCTTCGTTTGTTTCTTTGTTGTTCGTCAGAGAGTCTGAAGCGAAGTCATAGCTCGCAAACTGCAACTTAGTTTTGGATAATCTACTGATGTTTCCATGACATTATGATGTTTTATATTTAGACAGAGCCATTTGCAGAGATTAATTTATCAAACATGATTTTATTTTTTTTTTTAAATTTTATATACTTTATAATCCCTGAGGGGAAATTCAATTTTTCACTCTGTCAATTACACACAGGTCCGAACACACACGTGCACAAACCGGACTTATACATGCACTAAGTGTAGAGATGTCTGAGTGGCGCTCCGAGCGGTTGGGGGGTTCGGTGCCTTGCTCAGAGGCACCTCGGCAGTGCCCAGGAGCACCTCTCCAGCTACCAGTCCACGCTCCATATATTGGTCCAGACGGGGACTTGAACTGGCGACCCTCCGGTTCCCAACCCAAGTCCCTATGGACTGAGCTACTGCCGCCCCATGATATGCTTGTAAGGATAAAAAAAAAAATTCAACCATTCAATAAAAATTAAATGCTGAATATGAATATCACTAGAACCAATGCACAACTCATTATCAAAAAAGTAAATAAAAAGTTCTAAGTTCAAAAGTTTAATGTCAATTCACTACATGTGCAGGACATACAGAAGAATCGAAATGCCATATAATTTAAAAGCTAAAACAAAGCTGAATTGGAATAACAATAATAATAATAATAATGATAATGATAATGATACAATAAAAAACAATATAATACAAGTCAAATAAACTAAGCAGTATAACCTAACAGACAAGACGCTCTAAAGATAATCCAAACTATGTACAATCAATGACGATGTGATGTACATGTGGTGCAAAAGACCAACAGCAGCAGATATGAAGTAGTGCAAATGGTTAAAGTAAAGTGCATATTTACTGTATTCATTTTATTTTTGATTTCACTGTCAAATCAGAGCATTTTCTGAAATGTGTTTTGCCACATAGGCCTAAATACAAAAACACAAAACACAAACTTAAACAGCAAAACCAAAGGCCCCATTACAAATATCTCAGGTACACTGAGGCCTACGTAAAACCCAAATTCTGATTTAGTAGTTTCACAGACTGAGAAATTAAAAAGCTCCTCAACCCGTTCAGTGGAGCCTGTTGGACTCTGAATCTTCTGTGAGATCAATAAAAGCTGATTTTTATGTTTCATGAATGGTGCAACCTGTTTGTCTGATGAGCTACTATGGATATAATTGTAATGGATGTCGCTCCAGTTATACTGCTTTAATTCATTCATGAATATATACATAGTCTTGCCATTATGCTGATGTTGAAGAGTACTGATATAATCTAAACATGTAGGCTATTAGTGTAGTTATCATGTAAGGAAGGAAATGCATATAACTATGCGAGTCACAACTTGTTTATAACTCCAGTCACATTCATATGTGGGAGCTGGAAATTTCCATATTGCAACAAACAGCACATATGAAGCAATCCTTAAATGAGACAGGATAATTACATGTTATAAAACCCGTTGTGTAGAAAATATCCCGCCACATTTACCCAGAAACGGGACCGGAAGTTGTAAAAATGACTGACGACGGATTGTTATTGGTTTAAAAGTCTGATGGAGTCTGCTCTGATTGGCTGTCCCGCTGACGCATTTCAGTGTAACTGGCTCGCGGGGTGTTGGCGCCCAGTTTGAGATTCAACTGTGTCGGCTGATTGTTCTCACACAGAGTAATAACCTGCTGTAACAACTCTGCAGCAGCAGCAGCAGCAGCAGCAGCACAGGCAGCTCATCGTGTCAAAGCCGAGGAGAAAACATCACCAACCCGCTGTGTGAGGAAACCAGCTGCTCTGCTGCAAACATGCACGTCATTAAGAGAGGTATAGTGGCTCACTTCAGTTTAATGCTGTCAGATAGTGTTTGGATAATGCAGTGTTTTAGTGTGAAGGGGGATGTGAAGGTCAGGAAAAACTCATTAAGTGTTTAAAATTGTATCCAAGCGGTGATACATGTTGAAACTATGAAGAGATGCAACACTGCAGCCTGGAGCAACGTTTCATTCATGTTCGAGTGTGTGTTTCTTTGTGTGGTGTCATCGAGACACTAAACAAAGAGATAGCTATGGAAGCTCAGCCGGTGACACTTTATTTTTCTCTTTGCAGGTTTGCTGCCTCTTTATTTTGAATAATGTTGAAGATAACATTTAAATGCATTCACTATACTCGTTGACAAGTTTTGACTTTAATGTTTAATTTGTTTCCGCCGGTGTTTTGCGACATTAAGGCGTTGGCAAACTTCCCTTTATATAGGAGCTGTGTACTGACAGGGTTATTACAGTCATGTTCAGCATCTGTGGTATTGGCGCCAAGTAAGAAGACTTTGTTGTAAACAGTAACTGGTCAGACAGGTGTTCAGCGCGGGCTCCATTCAGTTCATTGATCAGTAGAGGGCAGGGGTGTGCAGCACCACATCCTGGGCCCTATGCATGAGCAGTCTCTGTGGGGCCCCCTGCTCTTTCTCTCATGATCCATGCTCTCTCAGGCACCTTTTGATTTTATTTATTTATTTTACTAAGTCAGTTTGGGTATTTTCCTTTCTGTTCCTTTTTGGAGCCTTGATTTCTTGTCTTGCACAAGCAGTCACTTTCTCAGCTCTAACTGCATTTAGAGATAAATGCGAGTGCATGGGCAGAGTAGATTGTGTCTTTAAGGGGTGAGAGGGGCCTCAGAGAGCTTCCACTACTTTTATATGCATTCAGTCTTTTTAACCAATTTATTCAGGCAGTTTTAATTTAGTCATGGCACTAATTACTGCTCCCTCCTATTGGTGCCCTGGGTAATCAGTCCCTGTTTCCCCCTCACTATGACACCCCCTGGTAGAGGGAATCCAGTTCACAGCCATAGCACTGATATTTCTTGACTGCAATTATTAGGGCCCGACCAATTTATCGGCCAGCCGATTTAATCGACCGATTATAGCCATTAGAGAATAATCGGATTGACGCCGATGTTAACACTTATATTTTCATCACAAATAAAATGCAGGGAATATGGTGTTTTACTTAGAAATGATGTCCTTGTGTTACTTTTGCACTATAACCTACCTCTGTTAAATTGGCAATAATAAGAAGAACTCTGGTGCTGTGAACATACATGTGAATGTCTTAATTCATACAGACTTTGCATGATTATTTTATTTCCCAGAGGTGTACTGCCTTTTTGCACATCATATTTTTGATTTATTATGTGTTCAAATTGTTCATATGCTGCTTGTTCCACACAATTTCTGATAATAAAAGTATTTTAAATAGTAAAATGTTCTTCCTTCAGTTTATATCTTTGTAACGAGTGTTTGAACTACATTTAAACCATCAAAAGCAGGTATTTTGGGGTTTTTTAAATTGAAAAATGTAAAAAATTAATCTGCCAATATATCGGTTATCACATTTTTTTATTCCATAATATCGGAATCGGCCCCATATTATATAAAATCCATATTGGTCGGGCCCTAGCAATTATATTCATGAACTAAGAATTTACCTCAGAAATGACCAAATAAGTTTGATGACTAATAATATTGTTTGTTTTTTCAGATGGACGCCAGGAGGCCGTTACTTTTGACAAAATCACATCTCGTATCCAGAAGCTTTGCTACGGACTCAACTCTGACTTTGTGGACCCTGTGAGTTCAAACCACTAAAACTTACTTATCAACACTAAAAAGCGAAACATCAAGCGATGTAAATGAGTGACACGGTTGTTGACTCCACTCCGGTGATATTCTACAGCATGTAACCCCTTCACCTCTTGTTCCTGCAGGCTCAGATCACGATGAAGGTGATCCAGGGTCTGTACAGCGGAGTCACCACTGTGGAGCTGGACACTCTGGCAGCAGAGACCGCCGCCACCCTCACCACCAAACATCCTGATTATGCGCTCCTGGCTGCACGAATTGCGGTGTCTAACCTGCATAAAGAGACCAAGAAAGTCTTCAGTGGTGTGTACAAGTTTTAAGTTACCATACCATTTGTGTATGCAATAAATGTGCTCAGAAATATGACTTTGCATTGAAATAAATAACAGCAATATTGCAGTATACATTAATTTCACCATCTTTTGGTAAAAAATGATGCTGCAGATTGTGATATGGGGTTCCCCTTAGGAAATTGTTTAGACAGGGTAGTGAGCCATTCAGATCAGTCTCATTAAACAATACCTACACTCATTTAACATACGGCATTTGCTGTGTGAGATAGCACATTGACTGTACGTTGTTAAGTGTTTGAACTACCTGATATTACACTTTCTTTCCCCTTTGCTTTCATAGATGTGATGGAAGACCTGTACAACTACGTGAACCCCTTGAACAAACAACACTCTCCCATGATCGCCAAAGAGACGCTCGACATTGTACTTGAAAACAAGGGTGTAAGTCACATTTGATGATGTGTTTTGTCCATGTTTTCAAATCTGAAATCACTATAATTATGCGTAGCAGCCTTTTAACATAATATCTTCTTTCCTTTGCAGCGCCTCAACTCAGCCATCATTTATGACAGAGACTTCTCTTACAACTTCTTTGGCTTTAAGGTAATTTTTCATTCCATCTCACTTTCAACATCTCAAGCGGATACCTGGATTATGAATCTAATTTGTCCCTTTTTCTCTGATAGACTCTTGAGCGGTCGTATTTGTTGAAGATTAACGGCAAAGGTGAGAATAGATTTTTCTTAAAGCTTAGTGTGTTTATGGGCACAGAGACTACTATTTTTAATTCTTAAAATTACTAATGAATGTCTTTCTTCTGTAGTTGCCGAGAGGCCCCAGCACATGCTAATGAGAGTGGCTGTTGGGATTCACAAAGAAGACATTGATGCAGCCATTGAGACCTACAACCTGCTGTCAGA